GATGCCGAATCAAGCAAGCCAGGTCACCGAGACGAACGATTTACATGGTTGAATCGGATTGACAGCCCGAAAATTTATGCATACAACAGAGTGACGAACTTTACACCGGTCTCCAGTGAAGACCTGAACAATTAAGTAAACCGTGCAAAACAGCATGGCACACATCAAGGAAGCTCGACAAGAAGACGCTTACAGAAAGGAAATAGAGATAATCAGGAATTACACATAATTAAACAAGAAAAAGATACCGGTTTTGTTGGAATAGAAAATGTTCTTCATGCGGAAAAGTTGAAAATTTTCCTGACAGGTAGGAGAGTAGTTCAAGAAGGTAGAGTATAAGAAGGAACCATTTTGTGCTACACATTTTACAGGGCGTGAAGACTAAAGGAATGTACATATATATACATATATATACATATATATATATATTAACGGCACTTCTTGAACCGTGAACAACGTGAAACCTTATTTAACTCAAATATGTGGCCCCTTCAACGCACACAAAGCAAATTTACTGGTTAGATCAGTCATACGTACCATAAGCTCAACACACCGTATAACAGCAAAATACTCAAAGCCCCTATCAGACTTCAAAACACCACCTAGTGTCTGACAGGTATAGTTCACTTCGTACAAAGTATCAAACACATTAGAATATCATCGTAAACACTAAACTCTACAGATAAAACTGAATTCCGTAGTCCAGAACTTTTCCAGAAAACAGAGATTCTACGGAGATACATATAGAGCAACCAAAGGGAAGTCCGGTTAACCGCTTTCTGCAATCCCAGGGCTGGAAAACACTCAGAACTTCAGCGTGTGTGACTCATACTTGGGTGGTTCTTGCATTTTTCATAAACTTGTCATCCCATTTATTCGTAATTTTTAATTTTAACAGTTCCGTCTTTTTTTCCTATGTTCTGTATCCCAACCCCTCTCTCGTTATTGTTATTATTGTTGTGGCGTTGGCACCATGTTTGTCAGCAAGCCGTAATCGACCTAATGTTCAACTTACGACATACTAATGACAGATTTTAGAATCATGGTGTCCCATTAAAGCGAAAGTCAGATAGAGCCATCCAGCCGTGGTATATTGGGACCAAGATGGACCAGACGGTGGATGGATTTCAGTTGCTTCGCGGTTCTGAAACCAAAATAAATCTTTGCTTCGATTCCGAGCCATGCTTGCGCGAGCTTTCTGAACTTCCAACGTCGGAGGTTGAGGTGATCAAGAACATACTTCGCGAGGATGGAACTATGACAAAAGACATCGTCCAAAACCCTATTTGAACGCTATTTGAGAATTCATCGTTCAGCACAGTCATGACAGGTTAATCTTGCATATCGATGATCAGATGCATTCGCTAAAATAAAATAAAATAAAATCTTATTTGTTCACCACAGACGGATCACCTTCTGACGCAGTTCGCTACCATACACTTACTTTTCTACCCACTTATTATGTTGTGAATCCTTCATGATTCATTTAAATCCAGTGTGTTCTAAAACTTGAATATTGAAAAGGTATCTCCAAACCATGTGCACAATTTGGGGGTAAATACGATGGTTGTTTACTGTGGCATTCTACTGAATGCCCAAAAACGCTACTCTGATAATCGGACGAAATCGGAAACTAATTAGGCTGATATGCGCAGACACGAATCAGCGATTGCACGCAGGGAATCAGTCGACCGGACCGGAGTAGGTAGGTAAATTTTCATTTATCAGTTGACGAGAATCAATCCAAATCGGGATTGTTCGAAAAACCCGGTCTGTGTATGCGTGGACTGTCGGACGCAGGCATTTCTTCAGTCTGTGCTACTGTTTGGGTGGGGTGCATATACCGAGCGTATGAACCCAACGTGACCAATAGATAGAGTAGACCAGACATATTAGGTTCGCTCCAAATTGTTCGAGTAGCAGACCACATGTCATCGAACCCTAATGCATTTCCGCATTCGCGTATGGCCTGCGTCAGAAAGGCTACACGCAGATCGAGAACATCGTGAACAAAATTGAGTTGGAAATATTACGCATTTAGAAACCTCATTATTGTGATGGGACGCAAACAATCAGAGCGGTGGGTAACCACTTAGGGGACAAAAAAATGAATTAGGGTCGACATCATCATCGTCATCAGTGATACCGAGTTTGCCCGGAAGGTATCTTCCAAATAAACCATAGAAGATAAAGTGATGTGATAAAGGCGACAAACGATAAAGAGTTAATGCTTAAAATGTGGATGTCACGTGAGTATGGGATTCTGGCAATCGGAAATAGCGCGATAATGCCCTAAAGGAATAAAGAACAAAGATATTTTGGGAGTATTCTAACAAAGCTAGGATATATCAAACCCAATGATCATTGGGAATTTTTGGAGTTACAATTATGGAATCTACATATTTAATGACAGGTAAATGTCCAACTTTGCCGGCAATTTTTGCCTCCAAAATGAACTGATTTAGGCTATAAATTATTGAGTATTTATACCATCTACTATAACCACAAAGCGAGTTGGCAGGTTTACACAAAATTATGTTGAAGAACGGGTCAATATAGCTTGGTCTCGTAGCGGCGCGACGGTGTTCTGTCCAGCTCAGTTCGTTCAATCAGGAAGCCCGCACTTTTGTGCGGTGGTTTTCTGTCCAGTACGGCGGATCTTTATATCGAGGAAAAGTGATGAAAAGGGTAGCCGACAGGATAGTAGCAGTACCGGGAAGAGGATGTAGCACCGATGTGAGCTAAATATGCGCAGAGGTTGAGCAGATACCGGGGCTCTACAATTTTAGCATTCAGCGTTATGGCTCTATTTCTCTTATCATTGCTGAGGGTAGTCCAACACTCCCCGCTCGGAAGCCTAACGCAACCGATCCAACGAAGCTACTTGAGGTTCATATCTTTGTGCAAGATTTTTATTAGCGTCTAACTGTCATGAAGTGATTATCGCTCCATCGTGCGTAGTTTCAATTATCCACGCTGTTTATGCTTGAAATGTTTTCAGTAACTTAACGCTCCAATTGTGTATTCCAGATACCGCGTCTGGTACCCAAGTGAAATTGATGGATAGATTCTGCGGTTGGATATAAACAACGAAAGGGGCATATAACGGTTTGGTAATTGGTTTAGGTTACCGTATGTTTTCTGTCGCCTATGTTTATGAGAAAGAAGGCAATCAGATTGACGTTGATAAACTCAGTGTGCGAGATTCCAAACCCAACATGTACGGCTTCATTTCATTGTTTTCTGGATAATCCATGTAGGACTTAATAACCAAATGGGAATATATTGAACTATGGACCTAAAAGATAACAGCACACGTGCAATCCCGTTTTCCTCCGCGCTTTATAGATTGAGAAAGACATTTGGTCATTTGGCAGGCCAAAAATGTAGAAATCATGGCAACCGGTGGTTAGGAACACCGAGTAATATGGCTGAGTGTCCCAAGCAGCGGCGCACATGCAGTATTCTTTATTCATTTTTCGTGTTACCCCAATCTGTCTGAATTCTCCATTCTTCTATTTGAATTTCCTCTTAACATTTCAAGCTCCATTCTTCTCCTTTATCCAAATGGCCAGCCAAAAGACAGCAACCAAAACCGGCCCATGAAAATGGACGACTAGTGATTGCTGAAACTGAAACTCAAACCAGGATTTAATGAGGTCCTCTTTTTTCCTGCATCTCCCTTGGTCACTAAACGATCAATATCATGTAGTTAGATCTGCAGTAAATTTGGGACCATATGAGATATTTTATCAATTTTGTAAGGTAATACAGTGATTAGAGCCGCTAAAAGTATTTTTAGTAAATATACAAAATAATACAAAGCCCGAATTGACTGATGTGATCGAAGCTACAATACTTATCACATTCTGCCCGGGGTTGGAGTAGTTCACATTGATCTGCATTCAGACCACACACACACACACACCAAATCTCGCTTCAGTTGCACAAACATCCTACCGACACAGTGGTTCTTCGGTGTTAGAAATTATTCCCGGTTGCTCGACATGAAGCCGCTCATCGGTAACTCAATTCACCCCGCCCGAGGTAAGGTTGTCATTTACTCATAAATACTAAAACCAAATAAACAATTCAGAAAAATGTATTTAATCTGGGGGCACGGACCAAAATATACAAGTGGAGCATCGAGTGTATGCCGCTGCCGTTGAATCAGTTCGGCTCAGAAACCTGGCCCTAAAGAAAACAGGATAAAGATAGGCTATCAGTGTTTGAACACAGTTGTCCATGCAGCATTATACGAATCTAGTGGGGCAGCTCGACGAATAATGCTGAGATTAGGCTCCTTGGCTGGAGACCTCGGGATGATCGTAACCAATGGTTAGAGACGCTGAGTAATAGGGCCGGGTGTCGTAAACAGTGACTTCCGTTCGTCGTCTCACTTTTTTGCAACCTTTGCCAGCTGAACTTCTCCATTTTCTATTCAACTCTGCCTTCAACCTTCCTGTCTTTCTTCTACTGATAATCTAAATGGGCGGCCGAAAGACAGCAACCAAAGTCAGCACACGAAAATGCATGGTTATTGGTTGTACAAACTAAAACTGAACTGCAACTGTACACGTGAGAATGTACATATAGGAGGTCATTTGGAAAGCATCTTAATTAAATCACTTAAATGACTTAACTGCATTCACAGCTATCTGCAACGAATTCGCACACTATTTTGCTGGGAATATGTATTTTTGCAGCAAGGCTATCAAGGTTCGGCCAAGAGGTTCGTTTCGTCATCAGGTAACTGTTTCTCAGTATACCGCATATTGTGTCCTTATATGCGGTTTGATTCGTTTTGACTGAAATATTGCATTGGTTACCGAGACGACTGTTGTCATCATTTAGATAATCAAATATCTCGGTGTATTTGATACTTCTATCAATCTGAGCCAATAAGGAACTATCATTTTTTGCTTCACAAGATCGACAAGGAACGAGGCAAACACAACTTTTGGAAAATGTTCCAAAATAATTCAGAGGAGCATCATGCGTACTGCCGAATCCCTTTTCGGTAAAAGCGCCTTTTTTGCCTGTGCGTACCCATTTTAAACATCCTATCAGTGATCAGAATCATGTTTCAACTGCCTAAGGTGATCGAACTGTGCAGCAAGAAAGCTGGTTTCATATCGAAGTTGACGATGATGAAATACGCCATTATAATTTCCTTAGTTTCAGTAATCATCGACCAGTTCCTCTCAGAAGCAGTCCTGTTAGTATATATTGAAAAAAACAGTCGTACAATGTGGTAAAATGTGTATTTTCTCAATCTATAAAGAATAATAATGTATTTTTTTTTACTGCGTAAGGCCATTTTTTCCAAATAGTGCTTACATAATAATAATAATATCTAAATGCTATAGTTGGGAAGTGAAGTTTATTTTTGCACCTGATCAATATCAATGTGGTTCCAATAGGACGTTGTAAATGGCTGGCACTGTTTTACGCCATGAACTTATGATCCCCAGGGTCAACTAAACCTAAACAGTTTCAATAAACATCACCCAACAGGTTCCAATTGCACGTGACCCTCTCTGTTCCTAATAATATACTTCAGTTTGTTTTCATTAGCTAAATTGGTTCACGTAAGACAGGGAGATTACAACCGTCAATTCGTGTCAAACGCCATCGATACGGGAACCATGAAAGAATCGATCGGATAATGTTGCAGCTTATCCTGTTTTAGTGCCCGAGTCGGACATGTTGACCAGACGGTAAAACTAATTGATTTGGATTGAAAAGAAGCAATGAACATGATAATTCAACATAGAACTGCGATTCAGTTTAATGCGGATGCTTTTTACTTTAAGCAGACAGTCTTTGCGCCACTTCATGTACCTGTTCAAATGCACACTATAAATGATGCGAGAATGTTCCGAAAGTCCCCCCAAAAGCTGCCGATAGAATAATGACAAAAACAGTATCTACATTTGTTGAATAAGCTGTAGCAGTGTCAACAGAAATTGAACAGACTGCAAACCATCATCAGTTCAATGGGTCTTATTTACAATCCCCGACGGGATGAGTTGAATGTGTAGGTTAGAATATGTGTTTATNCACTCTCTCTAATTCAATTTGCCACCGAATGCACGGCGAACGTTTTTTGCAAAAAGTTACCAAACGACGACCGGGAAGAAAAATGTGAATCGAAAGGAGCTTATATTCGTTGCTCACTCGCACGCCAGTTCAACAACGCACCAAATATCATGCCTCAGGTCAGTTTTGACAGAATGAGGGGGAGAACCTCATTCAGCGCTGATCGAAAAGAGACAAGAGAAAAACCGAGACTTACCGCATCTGACAGTCCAGTCAGAATATTGCATTCGTCCAAGCTGAGAATACGCATCGTGTGACTGAGATGGTGTTGTTCCAAAATAGACCCGCTGGCCCCATACAATGAGGCCAATGTGGAACTGCTCAGACACTGCGAGAAAACACAAACACATAGAGACGCAAGATCGGGATAAACCAACTATATAATGTAGGGAATGATGTGGGTAGACATCTGCTGGAAAGTGTTCCAAGTTTGGAATTGAAATTCTGCTCTCTAATCGTCACTTGGTCTAAGCTTTGCATGGTAATTTTCCCTGGTTTAACCTCCGATTTGTTTGACTTGATGGAACATTCTTGGAAGTGCATCTTCAGGGTAATTGAGATCTTCCGCTTAATATTGGATAAGTCTGTTTTGAAGATTTACCTTAATCGTGTTGTCGACCGGTGGTAGCCACATTTAGCTAGCAGGCGCCCGTAATACATTCAAGTTACTGCACAGTCACAGTGCAACGTATCACGTCTCTACAGTTCTCTATCTAAATGGGCTCTTAGCATATATAGAATAACAAAGTATTTAAGGTGGTAAATGTTTGGATTAGCCCATTCGTTTTTTCACAGGCACCAAGCACTGTTGATACTGAAGTAGTTATTTCAAATCGTGGAACATGTGTATTGATTAAGAACACTGTAAGAGCAAACGTGTTTTGGGGTGAATTTATTCGCTAGTCTGTTGTACAATCACATTAATCTGAAACAAAATTCCGTCAGGTCTAACTGACACGGGGATAATTATTGTGTGTGGTAATTAGTTCTGAATCCTGGCCAATTGGTGCGATACTTGGATTACTTAATCACAGTTTTCTCGATTACGTCATTTTCATTTAAACGAGCGATTTCCCTTTCCCTTGGCCAAGGGGTCTAAGGGCCAGGATCATTTTTCGCAGTGCGCATAGTTCAGACTTAGGAAAACGGATGTTAATCACTTCTGTGGTCGTTGACCTCCGAAATCTAAATGCTACCAAGGGATGGAGTAAGACTCCATCAATGATTAGGAAGGCAACATGCCTATCCGTCTTTAACAAATAAGCAACAATTGAGATTGACATGTCTAAATTCATCATGTATATACCAGCGTGGATTATGTTATTAGATACCTTGAGATAACTGCCTCGCTATTCGATTTACCTAAAGCACGCTAGAAGTGAATTGCTGGAAATACAAATATGAGGAGACAAGTCAAGCTGTTTTTCCGGCCCAATCGATTCAGGTGCATTGGTGGATCGATTCACGTTGGTTAATCGACAAAGTGGTCAACTCCATGTATTAAGTAAATACCACAATCCAAGATGGCTCATATATGGTGGCTATGGAGATCTATGAGCTCGATTGTTGCTCGTTCCGACGATTATTATGGATTTGTCCTGCCTGATTATCGTTCTAGACTCACCAAACCCCACGAGGATCATGAAGTTTCGGGTGGTAGCGACCGCCGAGGTGATCAACATCTGTCTCTCAAAGCATGTGCATGTGTGCACAACAAAGGTTGAGTCAAACACTGAAAGTCGGAAAAACCGAGAGACAAGTGGCAAACAGGATGTTGGATAATGGTGAATCTAGTGTCTAACGACTTCAGCTTCCATTCAGCTTAATTGTTCAGTACTCACTAGATTGCAAAGAATGTAAAATACATAGAAACTCCTTTCGTGTTTTAATTTGCCAGCGTTTACTGTGACTCACCGATGCAACTGACATTTGACTCTAAAAACCTGACCTGTTTAAGCAGATCTTGACCAATGACCATCCGCGCGCTTCCGTGGCGAGTTTGATTGTTCGTATGCTCAACCCGGTTCGGATTTATGCGAAATTTATCTTCCCAATTAATCGTCTCGTATGTGTTCACTTGCTGCCACATCTGTCACGCTTTATCAAACCTACCCCGTGTGCATGGACACTACTGATGGGATATCACGAAACAGCTGCATTCAATTGATAGTTTAATGTAAATCTTGCTCAAGCGAACACATCAAACGGAATCGGCTGCTGACTTTGACTACGTAATTCAAACATTGTCACAATTTCAGTTTGACCTTGATGAATTCTGCTTCATACAAATGTGATTATACAAATTTTAAAACGAGTTGGTCCACAGCTGCGTTTCCGCCTACACCACGTGTTCTTGGTCAGTTAATTAAAAAAAGCCGACTGGAATACATGTGCACAGCCAATCTTTACTTTAATTATTCAGGTTCCACGATGGTCAGTTTACTCATCTCTCTTGTCAAACAATATCCGGTAGGAACACAGAAAATCTAGTTAGTCAGTGAGTGCATCACTAGGACACCACCAAGGCCTGAAACAGGTGACTTCAATGTGGTCTTCAGGCCATAGAAGGACAAAACACAAAGAATAACCACCAAAACTACATTCAAAATGCATTTTTATACAATCAATCTACTTACCGTGGAGTTTACCTTCAAATTCTGTATTTAGTAATATTGGTATGTTTGTACACTTCCATTCACCATAATTGATCAAACCCATAAGCTTTATATGTAGCTTTTTAAGTCAGCGATTGAGAAGATTGAACGGAATGTTATAATCTCGTTACATATTTCGCGGTCTGTATTAATGATTTGCATAAAGAAGAGTCAGTGCTATAAAAACCTTAAAATACTCATAGGGGAAACTGTAATAATTGAGGTCACGCTCCACGCAGTACCAATTATTTCGGGGAAACGGCTATAAAACTCTCATCAAAGTTCCTCCTACAGAACGTATATCGCTACCAGGCATCAATTCAAAGACTACCGGATTTTCATGAGTGCGATTGGTCGTTTGCTAAATTGGTATGGCTGTATGGTGTGTCAGATAAATCACATGAAAATCAGGCTCAATACTGGTCTTCGGTCGCCATATGTCCATTTAAAGCATGAACTTGGACAATCCTTGTTTTTCTCACTAATTGCCTGATTCTTTTCCAACCATCCATTATAACGGAACATGATTGACGGTAAAATTCCCTCGTTCTCCACAAACTAGTCCACCATAACAATCCCGGTCGCTATCAAATTCAACGGTAGCGTACACATCCCCCCAAAGAATCCCCATTGGGGGTGATTGAGCATTTCTAGGCAGCTTAGGTTAGGGTTATCGTTTGGTTGACCTCATGCTGCTTTTAGAGCGAGGCAGCTTGAATCACCATTGTGATATGGGAACAATCACACACACGTACATACAAAGTATTCAGTCAATAATAGC